CGCATGGAGTACGGAATGGTCAATCTGAAGACACACTTGTTCGTGTTTTTACAACTGAAGGGAATAAATCTAAGGCTTCATTCGCTTTGGATGTTGCCTGCAAAGTATTGCCACTTTATGAAGAGTTCTTTGAATCCAGCTATATCTTACCTAAGGTCGATCTTCTTGCTATACCCGACTTTGCTGCAGGCGCAATGGAAAATTGGGGTCTTATTACATTTCGCGAAACGGCCCTTTTATGTGATGAGAACTCAGCTGCCTCTCATCGTCAGCATGTTGCTTTGGTGGTGGCACACGAGTTGGCACATCAGTGGTTTGGTAATCTTGTGACGATGCAGTGGTGGAAAGAACTTTGGCTCAATGAATCATTTGCCACCTATATGGAATATTGGTCTGTAAACAAATTGTTTCCTGGCTGGCATGTATTTACGCAGTTTGTACACGATGAAATCGCGCGAGCCTTTGAACTTGATTCCTTACGAAGCTCGCATCCTGTGGAAGTGGATGTTCAAAATGCGAAGGAGATTGATGATATTTTTGATGCGATCAGTTACAGCAAAGGTGGAGGTATCGTTCGTATGGTCGTTAATTTTATTGGAGAAGATGTCTTCCAGAAGGGCATGGCTTCTTATTTAAAGCATTTCGCATATGGCAATGCGACAACAGAAGATTTGTGGAAATTTTTGGGCAAAGCGGCAGGAAAACCGTTGGCGCCCATCTTGGAGTTTTGGACAGGTAAGCAAGGTTATCCATTTCTCACGGTTTCTTCTTTGCGCGACAAACAGAGCCTACTAATAACCCAACATCGCTTTCTTGCTACGGGTGACGCCGGTGAGGGAGAGGACGAAACTGTCTGGAAGATTCCTTTACTTATTACCACACCAGAAAATGGTGTTCAACGCGAAGTTTTGGAAGAACGAAAAAATTCAGTACCTGTTCCACATCCTTCATGGGTGAAGGTGAATAATGATCAGTCCGCATTTTGTCGTGTCTTATATGAGGATGAAGAATTACTCCAAAATTTACTTTCTGCTTTGTCGACGAAGAAACTGTCTAATATTGATCGATTTAGCATCTTTTCTGATTATCATGCCTTTACTCGCGCTGGATATTGCAGTGCGGTTAAGGTGTTGAAGCTTCTTTCATACTATAAGGATGAAGACGACCTCACGGTATGGCTCTCTATTATGGATTTTGAGACCAAATTGAAAGTAATTGTGGCATCTCAAGGTGAAGAGGCCATAAATGCGCATAACGCTTATTTTCGAACATTGTACTCAAACGCCATAAAAAGACTGGGTTATGCCTTTGAATCCGTTGATGACCATAATGTGATTCAGCTGCGGGCTGCACTTTTCGCACGTCTTGTGGCAGCCGAAGATGAAGAAACTATTGCGTATGCCCTTAAATTATACGCGGAACGCCAAAAAACGCCAATACCTTCAGATCTGCGGGCTGCTGTTTTTACCGCTTTGTGAAAAGAAATGGGAGAGCTGCCTTTGATGAGGTAAAGGCGCTTGCCGAGACGGCTTCGGATGCGATGGAAAGAACACACTATCTTCGTGCACTTGCTTTTTCAGGGGTTGATGGTTTGGTGGCTGAACTCTTTGAATATGCTGTCTCTGGGAAGGTCCGCAGCCAAGACACTTTCTACGTCCTCAGCTCATTGGCTTGTAATACAAAGACGTTTAAAGCATATGCAATGGAGCTCAGGCGCATGTGGCCAATTCTCGCAATGAGGCTGCCGGGTCTTATCCTTGGTCGTGCACTAAAGTTACTTGAATATGGGGCAGAGGAAACAGTGGCAAATGAAATGGAGGTCTTCTGGAATGAACTTAATGAAAAGGAACAGATGGGCATGTCGCGCAGCTTTCGGCAGGGCGTTGAGGGGATGCGTAACAATGCAGCTTGGGCTTCCCGTGACGCCAGGGATGTGACAGAGTTCTACTCCAAAGCGTGGGTTTAGGTAGATTTTGCTCTTTCCGGTTCTTTCTGATCCTCGCTGTCGGGAGTGTTGCAGTTAGGTTATTTATCAATCTATATCAGTTTTTTTATATAAGCATTGCTATAATCATGTTTACTTTTTAATTTTATGGGTTGAAGGGGAGGGAAAGGGAGAAAAAATATATATATATATGCATATTTAGGAAAAATGAAATAAAATCATATTGGTAACAATAAAGCAGAAGGAGTTTTTGAAAATTATTCTCGCAATATCTGTTGTTTTCCTCTTTTTTAAGCTGAATAAAAAGGAGTTAAATAAGGTTAAATGTGACGCATTTTCTTTCAGTTTTTGATTATTGTTTTATTTTTGTATCGGTTCTATTTGTGAGCACTTTTTTTGTTAAGGGGAATGAAGCCACGGCCATTGGATGGCTAGAATGAGTATTGGCATTTAAGGGGGGGGGAGAAGTGGAAAGTCAGATAAAGAAAGAAAAAAACCTGTCATATATATGCATTTTTTTTTTTTTGTGTGTGTGTGTGTTTCTCTCTCTTGAGTCTTTGAGTAGATTCATATTGCTTGTTGTTGTTGTTTTTGTTTGCCTTGGCATGAGGAGGAAAAAGAACTGAGGATAATTAGGACAGAGGAGGATACACAGCCGAGGATCTGATTCAGAAAACCGTTACGATATAATAGTATCATTACTTACATCTGTGGTTTTCTTTTTCCTTGGTAATACATCATCAGTATTTTTTTTTTGTTTGTTTTTTTCTTTTTTTCTCCCTCTTCGTCTTTTGGTGGTGGTGTTATCGTTTTTATTCACCCACGCGTTTACTTCATGGATGGCAAAAGAAAGCTCGTGGTCGATGTCGCGTATGGCTGGTGTATGGAAGCGCAAGGTGGTGCAGCATGATTTCTACGACGCGGCAGGGCAGGTCGCTGCTGTTGTCTTAATGAACAGTCCGTCAAACGGCCGATGGGAATATGAGGAGTATCTACGACTCTTGCGTGTGCGGCGGTTTAATAATCAGCAGCCGGAGTCTTCTGTTGGTCGATGTTACTTCCTTTGCGCAGATGGTGCCTTTTCTCGGCTGCAGGCATATATTGAAGAAGAGCGAAAACATCGTCCGGAATTACGTCCATTTTCTCATGTGCCTTTCTGTGACGCTGTCATTGGCGATATGGACTCCTGCAAGAACCCTCCCCACAACTACGGTACCCATGGGAGTGTTGATGGCGCTGGGTTCTCATTGTCGGCGCCCACTGAAGGGTATGCGACGGTGGACGATATTCCTACCTCTGTTTTGGATCAAATTCATGACAGGTACACTTTTACCGTTGCGGAATTTACCCGAATGAGTGCAACTATGGAAGGGGCGTCTTTGGCAGAGTGGGATAAGCTGGATGCAAAGGGAAGGGATGAATTATTATCGCTTCCATTTTGGCTGTACGTCCGTTGTCAATCGACAACGGACTTTATGAAAGCATTATTACTCCTAAATCGACTGCGAGAGAAACATAAAGAAGAAATTGTTCCTATTCCTCCACATGTCCTACGAACGGAGAGTGGTAAGCGGCTATTGGAAACTGGAGGCGCGATTATCCCAAATGCTGGGAGCATTGGCCTTGACCTTGATCCTGAGCGAGAGCGCGAATTATGCGCAGAGGCATGCAAGGAGGAAGCTGTGTTACTACCCACGTATGTTTGTATGGGTGCGCTTGGTGGCCGATTTGACCACGAAATGGCCTCAATCTCGGTTATGTTATCCGCCAGCACACGCGCGCATGTTGTTTTAATAAACTCCAACAACACCATATTTGCCTGTCAGTTCAACGGTTGGACACAGTTGGTACGGAATGCACGTTGTGAGGGCGTGACATGTGGTCTTATTAACTACGGTACCATGAAGGAATGCGAGACCAGTGGGCTTCAGTGGAACATTGCGGTAGGACGGGGAAAACCAAGCGAATCGAAGGATTTGGTTTTGGGATTTGGGAAGCTGATCTCGGCTTGCAATTCGATTCGTCGCGAGGTTGTCACGATCGACCTGCGCCGTCAACTGCTCTCGACACGGAGCCAAGGGGGGTCCAACACGAAACAAGCGCCGGCAAATGAGCGTGACGATGAAGTGGATGAGGACCACAACCCGCCAACCATATTTTCTATTGAAAGGTGCGATGGGGATGAAAACAAATTTGGCCACTCGTGCTGATCTTTTGTTTGCTACCTTTCCTTCTTTTCATACCCCAATTTATAGGAGCAAAGAATTGTTGAATTTTTTTTTACGGATTTATATTTGACTTTGATGTCTGTAGGTAGAATTGGGACTGGTTGGGGCTGAGCAGATGATAAAGTGCATTAATTAACTGCCCCGTTTCCTTTACGATTGTTGGATTATTTTTTTGTCAGAGAGCGTGTGTTGAATTGTGGTGGGCGCTTTTTTTTTTTTTTTATTTTTTTTTCTCCCACCCGCTGTCGCTGCCGCTCTTCATGCGGAGTTGTCCGGCGGATGTGAAGCCCAAAAAAAGACTGCCGCTTCCTCATTTCACTACGAGTCCGGTTAGGACAAAGTATGATTTATGTGTATTTTCCTGTTTGTTTGTTTACTTGTGTGTGGGTGTTGGGTCAATCTTGTCTGAAGTGTGGGGATGTCGGGTGGTGCGGTGAGCCAAACTGCCACCTCTCATTGTGGTGTCTTTTTTTTTTTTTTTTTGTGTGTGTGTGTGGAATAGGGGAACGAGAGCCTCATTCAGATGCGTATTATAATGCGACCCAACTGCAACGGGGCAGTGCAGCAGTGCATGAAAAATATGGCTGCACTCTCGCGGCCGCTTCGGCTGGGTAGCTGTAGATTGGGGCACACGGGAAGCGTGTATGCGTTTATGGAGGACAAAAGCAGCTAACCCCAAACAAGGTTTCCGCAAAACAGTTTCACAGACACAAGTCCAACGTCAGTCAAATGTTGGCAAAAGTTACTGCTTGTGTTTGCGCGAGGCTCACTGGAAATGGAAAATTTCGTTGAAAATTTTAGCGACTGAAAAGGACAGACAATGCCGTGTGGGCTGTGGGGCGGCTGTATTGCAGCATAAAGGCTTTTTTTTTCTTTCTTTCTTTTAGACGCTTTTGGCGAGGGAGTGCCACGGGTGAAATCTCACGAGGTGAACTGATGGCGTCTCAGGGTCTTGACGAAAAAGGCGGCGCTTGCGAATGTGTTTTTGATACCCCAGGCGACATTACGAATCCTTTGTTTTTCCTACTTTTGATTGTGCATTACTATTTTTTTCTTTTTTTCCAAGCTGATGAATAAAAAAAAATGAGGTGACGGGTGGGTTTAGCGTTCTTTTCCTTCCTTTTTTTCTTGCCGGGTAACATTTTATGCGATGGCAGCCACTGGCACTCGTGGGATTCGGTGGTCAAACGTGCTTTCTGGAAAAAATGATTTATTGTCAGATTTTATTTGCTGAATTTCTTGTGACCCCGTGCGAAGTGGGAAGAATAACGAGGCAATATTCTTTTTTATTATACATTTAGTTTCTATCGCCTTTTTTTTCCCATTCCACCCTTTGCATCTACCCGTACTCTTGTACATACGTGTAAAAGGAACCTAAAACATGACCAAGAAGCACCTGAAGCGCCTTTATGCCCCCAAGGACTGGATGCTGAGCAAGCTCACGGGCGTGTTCGCTCCACGTCCCCGTGCTGGACCCCACAAGCTGCGTGAGTGCATGACTCTTATGATCATCATCCGCAATCGTCTGAAGTATGCGCTGAACGCCGCCGAGGCTCAGATGATTCTTCGCCAGGGCCTTGTGTGCGTGGACGGTAAGCCCCGCAAGGACACCAAGTATCCGGTTGGCTTCATGGACGTTGTGGAGATCCCACGGACCGGGGATCGTTTCCGCATTCTGTACGACGTGAAGGGCCGCTTTGCCCTCGTGAAGGTTGGCGAGGCTGAGGGGAACATCAAGCTCCTGAAGGTGGAGAACGTCTACACGAGCACTGGCCGCATTCCTGTTGCCATGACACACGACGGTCACCGCATTCGTTACCCCGACCCCCGCACCCACCGTGGCGACACCCTGGTATACAACCTGAAGGAGAAGAAGGTGGTGGACCTCATCAAGTCCAGCAACGGCAAGGTGGTGATGGTCACCGGCGGCGCGAACCGCGGCCGTATTGGCGAGATCATGTCGATTGAGCGCCACCCTGGTGCGTTCGACATTGCACGTCTGAAGGATGCGGCGGGACACGAGTTTGCTACTCGAGCGTCCAACATTTTTGTGATTGGCAAGGACATGCAGAGCGTTCCTGTGACGCTGCCGAAGCAACAGGGTCTCCGCATCAACGTGATTCAGGAGCGTGAGGAGAAGCTTATCGCTGCTGAGGCACGCAAGAACATGCAGACTCGCGGCGTACGCAAGGCACGAAAATAGGTGCAGAGCAACTTTGTTTTTAATTTTATTTTGATTATTTTTCTTTTTTTGCATTCGTGAACTTTTCTGTGCATGTTTTCAAGATGCTCCTCTTCTTGACGGTTTGTACGTCCGTGTCGCCGCGCACACAATGAAGTTGCAGTATTTGTGTTTTTAATTTTTGCAATCACCTTTTTTTTTTGTTTTTGTTTCCCCTTTTCGTTTGTAATCAACACACTACACTGAAATATATATATATATATATACGCACACACACACACGAGGGAATATACTTTACGGGAGTGAACAGTTAAGGCTTCCTTTGTTACTGTACAGCTAGACGCCAAGAAGCGCATAATACCTCTTGTTTTTTGTTTTTTTTTTTTTCCTTCTGTAATCCTTATTTGATTGCCCTGTTTGTGACCGACTTCACGATGGCACTTGGATTTTCTTCTTGGGCGGAGTTCTACGTTTATACGACATGCATTACTTTGGGCGTCTCCATGTTGATGCCAATGAACGCCCTGACATCTGCACCTCGATACATGGTGGATTACTACCGCTACGTCTCAGGAGACCCCCATGCGAAGGCAAACGTGCCAATATTTTGGGCCAACATTTTCACCTTCTACAACGTTGTGTCGTTGGTGACGCAAATTATATTTGGACCCACCGTGTTGACGCATTTGGCGAGAAAATTTTCCCTTAGCAATCGCTTTATTTTTGCGCTCACATGTATGATGCTGGAGGTTATTGTGGTTCTTTTGCTGCCCACGGGAAAGGTCTCACAGAATTCTGCCATCGTCGCGTTTATTATTGTCAGCATTGTGGCAGGTGCGGGCAAGTCGTACTTGGAGGCTACGTGCTACGCGCTGGCTGGAACAATGCCCCCAAAGTTTATGTCGGCTATTATGTTTGGTTGCGGCTTCTCGGGACTGGTTGCGTCGACGATGCAGTGCATCATTAAGGCAACGATGGAAAACACGTATGATTCGGTACTTGCACAGGCGTACATTTACTTCTCACTTGCGCTGGGAATCATGTTCGCTGCGCTTCTTATGGCATTGTCGCTGCGGTACAACTCCTTTGCGCAGAAACACGTTGCTGAGTACCGCATGCTGAAACGCGCGACGGATGGAGAAACTCCAAGTGCAGAAGCCACGGCGTACGGCAATGTTGAACCCATCGACAAGGCGGTTGAAAAGGATGCGGACAGCGGTAAGGCAGCCGGTGAAAACCTTTCCTGCAGGAATGAAAATGGCGCACCGGTAATTGTTCAGTCCGAAATGACAACTTCAGAGCAACTGCTGACAACACCCGTTTTTCCAGTGATCAAGAAAATTTACCCCATGCAGATTGCATGTTTTTGCGTCTTCTTCTTGTCACTTATTATCTTCCCCAGCCTGGTGATTCCCATTGACCGTGACGACGAGTGGTTTGCCACCATCGCCATTCTTTGCTACAACGGTGGTGACGCCTTGGGCCGTTTTTTGACTTCCTTCCGAAAGCTCTGGATTTCTCGCCGCAAAACGCTATATTTATCATTCGTCCGCTTTCTGTACATTCCATTAATCTTTCTCTGCGTCTTTCACCAAATCCCTGGCCACGTGGCGCCGTGCATTTTCATGTTCACTATTGGTCTGACAAACTACCTTGGGGCACTGACCATGGTGTACGGTCCCGGCACACCGGAGCTGAAGACGGATGGGGAGAGGGTAATGGCTGGGCAGCTTATGGGAATTGCGCTGCTGGGTGGTGCATCCTTTGCCTCACTTATTGCCATCGTTGTGGTCTTGTTCCTTCCCTAAGATGGTATGGCTGGTAATGAAGATACATCCATCCATCCCTCTTACACAATGTTTCTCAGGGAGTGTAAGTGGGGCGGAGGTGTTTGTATGTAATGCAAGGGGGAAAAAGCGAAGGAAAAGCGGAGAGCCGAAGGGGGGGAGGGAAGCCCATTTTGCATGTATTTGCGTGCAATAAAGACATAATGTGGAGGGCAAAGGGATATAAAGGAAAAAAACAGCAGACACTTTTTCTTTCAGCCCACATTTGCCCCAAGCATTTCTTTATTTATATTTATCTATAAAATATATAAATAATAAAACGATTTATATTGATATATTTATATATTTATTTATATATCAATATTTAATTTCTTTGTAATTGAGAATGAGGAAACGTGGATACAAAAATACGGATTCATTTCCGCATACATCCATACAAATGCATTGATTGCGAAGGGCAAACAATAATAAAAAACAGAATTATTCCCCTTTTCCTGAGAAAATACCCGAAAAATAATAAAAATAACAGAAAAAAAAAAAATAGGAAATGGAAAAAAAAAGAAAAAAAAGAAAAATTAGTGTAAAAAAAAAAATAATAATAATAATATTTTTTTCTTGTTTTTCTTTTGCTGTTGTTTTGTGGATTTATTTTATGGTTTTTTTTTTTTTTTTCTGTTGCTTTGTGGATTTATTTTATGTGTTTTTTGTTTGTTTGTTTGTTTGTTTGTTCGAGGAGCACATGATAGCCGTGTCTCGAACAGAGCGTTGATTTTACGTGAAGTTATGTTGAACGGAGGGCCATTGCAATCAAAATAAAAGGAGAGAATGAGAGAGAGAGAGAGAGAGAGAGAGAGAGAGAAATGGGACTTAAATATGTGGCGTGTGTTGTTGTTTTTTGCTGCGGTGCGGTGCCGCAAGTGAGTACGAGCGACAGGACGGAGGGTGCAAGAAGAAAGGGGTTGGGTCTGCCAATAGACGGAATAAAGAGAATAGGAAGGCAAAAAGAAAAAAGAAAATGTAAAAAAAGGAAGTGCAACATGTCCCCCCGCATGTGTGCATATGAGCGCTTCTGTCAATCCTGTTGTGGTTCAGGCCACACAGTTTTGGAATTGTCTATATATATATATATATTTTTTCTTTTCTTTTTTTTTTCTGCTCTTTTCTTTACTTCGCGGTGTGGGTGTCTTTGATGTCGCAATTTTGGGCACTGTAGAGAAGGGGTGGACCGCAAATGTTGCGTCTTTTGCCTCTTCGACTCGCGAGCAAAGTCACTGCGGGAAATGCGAAAAATCAGGCGGGACACCCCCGTCGCAAAGCAAAACTATTCCACGTCATACCCGGCACCCCGGTAACGCCCATGGAGAAGTTGAAGGAGCAACGACGTCGATACGGCCAAGATCGTCACTCGCGGTTGCCGGAGTATCGTCCGGGAAAAAATGTCCGCTTGGACCCAAACACCTTTACTCTGTATGCCACGACAAAGGGTGTGATGACAATACGGGAGAGCCGTATTAATCCCGGGTACAAATGGCTGGACGTGGAGCCGGACATTCAGAAGGTGTACCGAAGCAGTCAAATGCGAAGGGCACTGGCCGCTCGAGGTATGACATCACAGATGGTGGAAAAAAATGCGCACTACAGGTCCGAGATGGATTTGCTACTGGAGCCACACTGGCGTCAGCGCGTGATGGGTGTGCCCAAGGCTGCAGAACGCTTTAAAGACCCTAACTTGTTTGTCCGGGGTGTCATTACAGAGCTTACCCCCATGGATAGGTACTGCTACGAGTGAGCGAAGCCTGCCGGAGGAAAGAAAGGACGAGGCTATCTTTTTTGGCGGATTGTTCTTTGGCAACTATATTTGCGCCGTCTCTTCTTCATATCATTGTAAAGGGAGGGAAGATGTTCTATTACAGAACCGCATGCTCTTTCCCCTGGAACACCAAGCGTTGGGATATTCATGTGTAGCACATTTGTTTGTTTGATCTGGCGTGGCTGTTGTGTGGGGAAGTCTTTTTTTTTTTTTTTTTTGAATGATTCTTTTGTTGCTGTTGTTGTTTTGAACCTTTTTTGTCTGTGTGTCATCTGATTTCTTTATTTTTATTTTTTGCATATACAATGCTAGCTGAAAACAGGAGACATTATTTTTTACACAACCTTCTTTTTTGGGGGTAGGGGTAGGGAGGAGTATCGATAAGAGGACAGCAAGGGTCTACTTGATCAAAAAGAAGCGGGAATAATGAGCACTGAAGCACCTACACCCAGTGGGACGAATACTGACAAATCGCATGGGTTGCCTACGTGGACGATTGCAGTTATTGTTCTGGGGGTTTTGGCTCTTATAGGAATTATCATCACTCTCGTGTACTTTTTGCGCCGGAAAAAGCCTTCAGGAGGAAATTTGCGACAAAATGGATCACCTCAATACCCGTTATCCCCAATTAAGAATTCCTTGGCTTTTAATAATCAAGCTACGCAGTCCCTCAATATGGACGGAAGCGGGCAAATAACAAATGGCATGCAGCGTCAGCCATCGTTTGGCGGCCGTGGTGGCATGCCCGTTCAGGGACAAGGAGGCATGCAGCGTCAGCCATCGTTTGGCGGCCGTGGTGGCATGCCCGTTCAGGGACAAGGAGGCATGCAGCGTCAACCATCGTTTGGCGGTCGTGGTGGCATGCCCGTTCAGGGACAAGGAGGCATGCAGCGTCAACCATCGTTTGGCGGTCGTGGTGGCATGCCCGTTCAGGGACAAGGAGGTATGCAGCGTCAACCATCGTTTGGCGGTCGTGGTGGCATGCCCGTTCAGGGACAAGGAGGCATGCAGCGTCAACCATCGTTTGGCGGTCGTGGTGGCATGCCCGTTCAGGGACAAGGAGGCATGCAGCGTCAGCCATCGTTTGGCGGTCGTGGTGGCATGCCCGTTCAGGGACAAGGAGGCATGCAGCGTCAGCCATCGTTTGGCGGTCGTGGTGGCATGCCCGTTCAGGGACAAGGAGGCATGCAGCGTCAGCCATCGTTTGGCGGTCGTGGTGGCATGCCTGTTCAGGGACAAGGAGGCATGCAGCGTCAACCATCGTTTGGCGGTCGTGGTGGCATGCCCGTTCAGGGACAAGGAGGCATGCAGCGTCGGCCATCGTTTGGCGGTCGTGGTGGCATGCCCGTTCAGGGACAAGGAGGCATGCAGCGTCAACCATCGTTTGGCGGTTATGATGGCATGCCTGTTCAGGGACAAGGAGGCATGCAGCGTCAACCATCGTTTGGCGGTATGCCGCAATCTAGTGCGCAGCGACGTGTGATGCAGGGAAGGCAAATGTAGAATTTATGACTTCTGAAGTTTGAAGAGAATGACATTTCCGATTAGAGTACTTTTTGTGTGTGTGTGTGCTTGTGGGGCGAGGCGAGCATTGCAACTGCACTTTTTGCCTGCAGGATGGGGGGAAAGATTTTTGTTTAAGCTCAGAGTTTTTGGTGCTGATTGTAACTTCCTTTTTTTTGGTTTCGCGACTTTTTTTTTTTCTAGGTGTTTCTTCCCAGAAAACAAAGGGGGCGTTTATTGTCCCCATGCAAGCTGATGGAGTGATTCTGCCACTAGTTGTTGTTGTTGTTTTCCGGGCCTATGACGTTAGCTGCCCTTTTTGACGTTTATAATAACACTTCTGTTTTTTTTTTTTTTTTTTTTTTTTTTTGGCTTTTCTTCGGTGATTTAGAAGGACACGCGTGTGTTGATTTTATATGTTTTATTTTTATTTTATTTTTTTGTTGGTTTACTTCTCATCCCAGTGTGAATATTTTTGGTGGATATTTGGAGGAAGGGCGAGTGGATGTCTTGTTGCCCGTTCAAAACGTCATTCCACGGATGTAGCAGACGACACGTGTATGCTGAGGGAGGAAGGGAGGAGGGGAAGAAATGTGTGTATGCATTTGCCTGCAATCACACAAGAGAGATGTGAATATAAAAGAGGAAAATTTTATTACGGATGAAACCAAAAACAAAAACACATATGTGCATATATATATATATATTTATATTTATATATAAAAGCAAAGAAACAAATAACCAAATAATAATAATAATAATAATAATAATGGGGAGGGAAGAAGAGGAGTGGGTTACTTTGATTGAATTCCCCTGTCGCCAACTGTTCTTATCCTCCCCCTTTTCACTCAATTATTTGGCTTATTTCCTTTTTTTTTTTTTGTCATTTTCCATTCAACGTGTGTTTATCGCTTTGTTTGTGTGTATTTGTAGAAGTGAGATTTCATGTGCATGAATGTCAATACTTAAACTACCCGCAATCCCTTCATTCCCCTCAACCTCACACCACTTTTCTTTTCTCCGTACGTTTCTTTTTTTCTTTTTTTTTTTTTTTTTTCACCGGAGGCGTGCCTTCAATGTTTGGATCATTCTCAGCGACTGACCCTTACTTCTGTTTCGGCCTGCAGTTTGGTTAGGAAGGAACGCGTAGCGAAGTGAATCTTTTGTTTTGTTTTGTTTTGTTTTGTTTGTTTGTTTGTTTGTTTTTTCTTTAGTCGATCGGGAAACAAATGTATAAAAGACAACTTTACTATTTATTACATGTGCCTTATTATTATTATTTGTTTTTTCTCTTTTTTATATGTGAGAATCTTTGATTTGATTTTAATGATGAGCCCCGATGCACCGTCGTTGTGGCTCCATTTTTGTTGTTGTTGTTGTTGTTTTTTAAATCTCTTTACCTTGAGTATCACCATTTTCATCGTTGCCTCTTGACTTTTTCCTTTTGGAGCGGGAGGGATGTGCTTGACTCCCTACTGTGTACTCGGGGAAAGGGGAGGAGGAGGGTGTGAGTGAATTTACTTTTTTTTTTTTTTTTCTTTTTTAATTGTTTGTGTTGTGTTGCCCTTTGTTGTGGACGCGTTGGCTCACGAAGAGTAACGGGAAGGAGAGAGAGGGAGAGGGAGTCCGAAGAGTCTTGTATCGAGGCACGAAAGAGACTCATAACCGTTGAAGGTACACACACACAAAAAAAAAAAAAAAAAGAAGGGGGAGGGGGGAAAAAAGAAAAGGAAGAGGCGTTCAACGATTTATAACGATCGACTGTGAGGAGCGACAGGGGAGAGAAGGGGAAAAGGAGGATGGACAAACAGGCGGAAAGAGGCCAGAGCGCGGGTCCGGTGAAAACACCGCAAGGGACACAACCCCCGGCGCACAACTACACATACCACACCAACGCGGCACAGAGGGCCGTGTATGATTACCTGAAGAATGTGAAGCCCATTCCAGAGCTTGCGGAACCAAAAACATATAAAACATATGAGGAAGCATCTGTAGAAGCGGTATTGTACCCCATCATTGAAAAGCACCAGGTGATCATGGTAGCCGGAGCATTCTTTGGCGATGAAGGAAAAGGAAAGACGGTCAACGCTGTCGCGAACCACCCAGGTTGTACATTTATTGCACGTGTGAACAGCGGTGAAAATGCCGGTCATACAGTGTACGATGACGCAGGACGCAAGTTTGTTTTTAATCTCGCTCCCTCTGGATTGCTTTCAAAAGGAAAACGTAATTATGTGGGCCCGGAATGTGTTATGGATCCCATCAGTTTTATGGAAAATGAGGTGAAACAACTGATTGAGGCGAATGTTCCGTATAAAGAGCAGTTATTTATTGGCAACGTCAGTATTGTTACACCTTATCACAAGTTACTTGACCTGCTTGCTTCAGCGCCCAATTCCTCGACACTGAAGGGCATGGCACCCATTCACGCATCCAAAGTGACAAAACGTGGTATTCGTCTGGATCACATTTTCAATGACCAGTCTGTGCTCCGCTCGCGCCTCAGGAAGGACATAGACACGTACTTTGGCTTTTTGAAGGTCAAGGGTCTGTCGGATGCAGACGTTTTGCGACGCTGCGAGAAAGAGAACGGTGACGGTGTGGTGCGAGTACCACCCTATGTGGTGGAATTTGTGCAGGCCGAGGACAAGGTGGAGTACCTGGTCAAACTGTACATGGATCGTGTGAGGAACAACAAGAATTTTCCAGCTCGGTGTGATGTGGCACATGAGTTGCGCTCTGCGCTGTCGCGTGGTGAGAAGGTCATGTTGGAAGGACCACAGTCTTATTGGTTGAGTAATGCCCGTGAAAAATTCTGGGAGAGCACTACTTCTGCGGACACAACGGCGTCTGGTCTGTTGGCCACGGCACAATACAACTTTCAACTTTACAGCTCCGTGGTGATTAATGTACACAAGGCGCCGGGGAGCAGCCGTGTTGGAGTTGGGGCTAACCCCAGCAGCTTCGTTGCACAGGACTATTTTTCCGCAACAGGTGTGAAGACGCTACGAGATCTTCCTGAAAACATGTGCGTGGACTTTGACAGCATTCAGAAACTGTTCTTTACCAAGGCATTTCACCCGGAGACTAAAGAGTACAACGGTATCTGGGAGCCGTTGGAGTTTGAGGACTCCACTGGCAAATATAACATTGGCGTTGCCATGGCCGTCGCTTCTTCGCGTCAACATGGCGAATGTGGTGCGGTGACGAAGAAGCCTCGTGTGTGCGGATTTTTTGACTGTGTGCTGCAATACGAGGTGAACGCGGTCCAGGGGCCGTACCTCTCCATCTCCGCACTCGATCGTGGTGACGATTACGATAAGCTCGGTGTTACTATCGCATACGTGTACTACAACGGCAAGAACGACGAGGTGCTGAACATCAACGGCCGCGAGTACAAGAACGGCGACATCATTAAAGCCGGTGAGGCGGTGCCAGGGGAGGTTGCACTGTATTACTGCCACCCCATTGTGAAGCTCATTAATGGATGGAAACAAACCCCCATTGCCGCTTCCAAGCGTAAACCCGGCGATCCGCTGCCACGAGGCGTCTGCGAATTCCTCAGCACGGTCGAGTACTTTACCAAAGCGAAGATCATCTCCATCGGCAACGGGCCAAGGGGAAAGGACATCATATATATTAAGCAGTAAAGAAATAAAATATACGCGTGCGTGGGAAACTAAGAAAAGAAAAAAATAATAATAGTAATGAGAAATAAACGAACAAAAAAAAAAAAAGAAAAGAAAACACAAGTAGACAACAGCTTTTTAAAAGAAGATAGAAGAGAAGGACAGAGGGAGAGGGAGAGGGAGAGGGACGTGCGTAAATTAAATAAAGAGCGGACAAACAAAAGAGTAGCAATAACAACGGAATTGAAAAGGCTAATTGAAGGCATAAGTCCTTTTTTTTTTTTTTTAGAATTATTATTATTTTGTTTTATATATATGGTTAGGAGGGGAAAAGAAAAGAAAAGAGGGAAAATAAAAAGGGGAATGTTTGACCAAAGAAGCCATGGCGATAACACGTAGTTTGATGAATGACTTATGAATCTGTGGACTCATGTTTTGTTTTTGTTGTTGTTTTGTTTCGTTTGTTTTTTTTTTTTCTAATTGTTTGCTTTTGTGCATGTGCATGTGTGTGTGTGTGTGTGTGATGGAATGTTGTCTGCGCATCTTTGTGGATCGACAGGTACACTTGGTTTTTTAACTCAATGGATGCAGGAGATTAAGCAATACGAATGGCTGAAGAAATATATATTGGCCGATGGATTCTGGGATTGCGAGGAAATTTCATTTCTTGTTTTTTTCTTCTTTTTTTTTTTTTTTTTCGTTTTTGTTGTTCGTTTGTCTTTTGTTTTGTTTTGTTTGTCTTTATGTTTTTTGTTGTTTTTGTTGTTTTCTTTTTTCCCCCCTTTTGCGGGAAAAACATGTGGAGAGAAACGGCACACACGTGTGTGGATGTATAAATGCGTAGATGTATATATTTTTATATTCAAAGATATTCATTGGCTTTTGGTTGGATTCCTGTTTTGTTTTGTTTTTTGTTTTTTGTTGTTTTTTTTTTTTTTTTTTTTTTGCTACTTTTTGGTTTGTTTTGTTTGCCTTGCTCTTTTGCTCTTTTTATGTGCATTTATGGCCGGTGTGTTTATAAGCGCCAGCGACACCTTTTGTTGTTGTTGTTTTTTTTTTTTTTTTTTTGCGTGCACACGAAAATGCACGGGTTTCCTGTAATTTTTCCCTTTTTTTCCCCTCTCCCTTTTTTCCTTTTTTTTTTGCCTTTTTGTGCTTGAAGGGGAGGGAGGGGGTCAAAATATATTTGCCTGTGCGACTTCCATTTCCTTTTCTCAGTGATGTAAGCGGGTGTTCATGTGCGTGCATATATGTATGCTCAAGATCGTGTGTGTTTGCCTCTCTGTGTGAAAGACTGGGTGGGCGGGTTGATGACGCCATCGTCAGGGCTTTGTGGTTTATTCCTTTGGTGATGCGTACCTGTACTTTTATATGGATCGATGCTTCTGCTCCACTTTTTGTTGTTGTTGTTTTCGTTTTCCCTTTGTGTGGCATGTGTGTGTTTGCTTGTTGTTGTGGTGTGGCGCTGGCGCAGTACGAGGAGGAGAGGCATACACGACAGGTCCACCCCTTCCCTCCCACAGCGGTGAAAAGGGAAAAGGGGGCTTAAAGCGAAGGAAGGAAAGTCACTTCATTTGATAGAGGAGGCAACGACGGGGAAGATGGCGGCGGAGAGTCAGGACCAAATGCACGAGGATGCAGCGATCAACAGTGACATGATTCAGGAGGAGGTCTCTGGACTGCTGCGAGGGAAGTTTGCACAGGAGTCGTGGAACCCGCGCAAGGTGGATGTGTGGGTAGACGACGTCGTGGAGAACGTCTTGAAGAATCTTGCGGACCTGAAGAAACCGTTTAAGTACGTCGTTAATTGTGTGGTGATGCAGCGAACAGGCGCCGGCATCTCCACGGGATTTATTAGTCTCTGGGACAACACCCTTGACGGGGTTGTTCATGTGCCGTTTGAAAACGACACACTGCACTGTTTTGTCACCGTCTTCTTTTTGAAGTTGGATTAACACACAGACGGCAGGGGAATTAGAGAGCGGAGGTGGCGGGAAAACAACAAGAAGAAGAAGAAAGCGAAGGGAAACGGTTGCGTCTGCATGTGTGGTATTGTTATTGGTGGTGGGAGGGAAATTATGGCGCTTGTGGGTCGTGGCTTTTCTCTGCTTTCATTATTATTTTGTGCGAATGGTGACTTCTTCCACAGGCATCTTCCACGTTGCACGCATTTTCCCCTCCCTTTGACGATGTAAATTGAGGCAAAAAAAAGAAAAAAGAAAAAAGAAAAAAGAAAAACGAAGAAGTCAGAAGCAAAACCGTGTGACTGCGAGTGTTGTGTGGGGTCAAAAGAAAAAAAAGTTATTTGTTAATAACCCACCACCTCCTCTCAAGTGCTTTTCTTTTTTCTGCGTTTATCTGTATGCATGTACTCCGTATGAATTGGGAATATATATATATACATATATTACGCCCTTGCTGCTGCTTGTAGGGCGATGGGCGGAGGTGGTGACAGACGCATATCTTTCAGCTTTTCTCATGTATGAATCCCCTTCCTTTTCAATATATAAATTTTTTTATTTTTCTGTTCTCTTTTTTTTTTTTTTTTTTTGGCTTGACTTTGAGCGGTTTGAGCGAGCGCATCTCTCACACTTCCCACGGCGAGAGAAGAAGGGAGGAGACACGAGGGCACCCTTCGTTTTTATTTATTATTCTGCTTATTTGTGCGCCGCACGTTTTAATGATCGTACGCCGCCTCCGGTGCGCTTCTATTCTGCTGCCGGGGAATGACACGCTGCGAAGACGTCGTCGGGCGGGACTGCGTCATGGCAGCAGCGTCATGAATGCCTTTGCGTTGACCGCCGCTGACAGGGAGCATGGCTCGTTACATGACAATAAGGGCGGCTTGTCTCCGCACGACACGCAACCCGCCGACGACATTTACGGCTCCCGTCATGAAGAATCATCCGAGACGATGCTTCCATTCACGGATGGCGCATACTGCGGCGGCGATGAGGCAGAGGGTGGGCAGCATTGCGTCGTAGAAGGAAAGAGGAGTGTTGGTGAAAAGGACGAGACACAGTCACTGCGTCTCTCAGCGCGGACCCTGCGCGACGCCGCGGAGCGAGAAATAAAGGCGGAAATTGAGCGCGACTCCCGCGATGGTGTGGCAGCAATTCCGCCGTTGCCACCATGCGGGTGGAAGGTGCAGCACCCGGCGGGGTCCAACTACTTTGTCATGACAAGGACACTACGTGGCGGGGCGAAATCGGCCGAACAGCAGACACGACGCTACCAAAGCGTGCACGATGTTTTTCTTAAGGCTCTGAAAGAGAATCAAAGACAAAAAGTGCTTCGGGACACGAAGCGGAGAGAAGAAAAAGAAGAAGAACAACAACAGGGAATTCAAGGACAGATGCAGGAGCAAGCACGAAATGTCATGGATGACATTGCATCCAGCAGCTCTTTGCAATCAAGGGGTTCCTTTAAAAAGATGGTTGTGGATTACACTGGTCAAGATCAACATCGTGCAGTGCTTCGAGAGATGACGGCTTCAAATGATGCAGAGCACGTGGATAGAATGGATGTTTGCTTGACGGTGTTTGCTCCTTTTCGCGTTTACGATCCTTCCTTTCATGACCCTACCGTAAATATCTGCGAATGGTCCTCCTTTGACGTACTTGTGCGGAAGAAGATGGCAGCCGAAAAGCAAGGTTCAAGGGGAAGGACAAACAATGCTCTCAACTCATTGGCGCATTTGGTTCATGATCGTGCACTCTGTATGTTTGTGAGGCTGGCCAGTGTAAACAGCGAGATGCGAATTCGCTTCATACAATTCCTTTCGATTAATGAGGCACAGGCACTGGAGGAGCACGCGTGTTTTGGCCGGGGCGAGCCAGGGTTTCTGGAATTGATGCGCCGTCGCCGTCAGATGCGCGCGAGAACACGTCCCTTTCGGTCCCTGCGCCGCTACGATGAGCCTCTAACATTGCTTCACGAAGCGCCAGATACTCAAGACGCATCATCGACCAGCCCTCTGGCTATCGGATCACAACAGGGCTCACGCGGTAGTGCGTATGAGCTCCTGACGGAATGCTTTGACTCTACCGGGGAGTATAGTCGGACCTTATGCTACAGCGGGCCGTACCTGAGTGAGCTTTCCAAGGAGATGATGGGGGCACTACAGGATTACCTTCAAGGGGACCTCGCTCTTTCGCAGGAACTCTGCGAGTATGTCTGTCAAATGCAGTTCTTCCTGGAACAGGAAGAGTACATGGCGTGGCTGGGGAGGCTGCGTCATGTGGCCACCGTTGCCTCAGAGCGTAGTCACAAATAAAACGACGTGTGCGGTTGAGTTTCCCTTTGGTGGTTTCACATTATTTTTTCCTTGTTGTCTCTTCACCCATCTTTTTTGTTCTCGTTGTTGTTGTTGATTGCCTGCTGTTGGGGTGCTTATTTCTCCACTTGTTACCCGTCTGGAATTTACGAGGAGATGCGTCTTAATTTTGTTTTTCTCCCCCTTTTTTTTAAATGCTTTGATTGCTGCTGTCGCTGTTGCTTATATATATATAAGCCGTGCGACAAGAGGTAAGTGAAGGGACGAGCATAAAACGCAAGAAGACAGAAGAAAAGAAGTGAACACCGAAGCAGGAAAGGAAAAAGAAGAAGAAGAAGAATCAAAATATAACGGCCGCCAAAAGAAAAGAAAGAAAAAAAAATGGACCACTCGATCTCTCAAAAGGAATTAGATGAATTTCGGGAGATGTTCGACCTTGTGGACACGAACCACAGCGGCCGCATCACACGTGGGGAACTGCGAAAACTGTTAAAGACACTGCAGCTGCGCCCCACGGAGCAGGAATTGGAGCAAATGTTTTCTGATGCCGAGGCGAATGAGTCGGCCAATGAGATAAACTTTGATGAGTTTGTAGCCCTGATGTCCAGGCGTGTCCAGTCAGACTACACGTTGGAACAGCTGCGAAATGCCTTTAAGCTTTTTGAGACGGAAGACATGCCGCCTGGCTATGTTTCGAGGGAGGTACTGGAGCACGCCCTTGTGTCTTACGGCACAGAGAAACTCACTCACGATGAGGCGACACGCCTATTGGCTGCGGTAGATCCTGAAGGAACCGGCAGGATCAACTATATTGAGTTTGTGTCCCTGGTGGGTGGCGGTGACCCCTGAGGTGGCAGAAATAAAACGAATGCGGTGATGCGAAACGAAATGGAAAGGAGGGGAATAGGAAAAAACAAACAAACATACATTTCTGTCGCAGGGAGTCGCTGTAGAGTAAATGCTTTGTGTATGTATGTGTGTTTGTGTCTGTTTTTCATTTTTTTTTTTTTTTTTGCTGTTTCTCTTTCTCGTAACCCTTATGGATTTAAATGTTAGTTCTTTCACCCCTTTCTTCTTCATTTTTCCTTTCCTTTTCTTTTTCTGATTTATTATTTTTATTGAAGCGTCCAATTTATAAGTTTGCTGCGTTTCTGTTGTTGTTGTTGTTTTTGCTGTTGTTCTGGTCTGCTTTGTCATGTATGCTGAAATGTGAACCAGCTAGACGCAGAATTCGTGATGGAACTTGATGTGTACTCATCTCTGCGGCCACATGTTATAAATGTATATATATATATATATATAAGATGTTTGATGTTATTGCTGGAGCTTTCTTCCTTTTTTTTTTTTTTATTTATTTTTGCTGGGCGGAGGGTAAAGGGGTTCCTCACTTCCTCTCATTCTTGTGTGTGCCCCCAATGAAGAATTTGGCATACAAGACGGTTCGTGGCGGGGCATGGGGGAAGACATCCTCACGTGTCGTCATTGCTCATGGACTTCTTGGAAACAGCTCGAACTGGGCGACAGTGTCACGTCGACTGGCAGAACACGACCTCCTGCGTTCCAAACTGCATGAGATTGACATGCTTGACATGCGCAACCACGGTAATAGCCCACACGCCTCGCCGCACACGAACGCCGTCTTGGCATCGGATCTTGAGGTGTTTACCCTGCAGCGACAGGCGGTTGCTTCGCCCCCTGACGACGGAGGTGTGGTGCTAATCGGTCACAGTATGGGAGGGTTGGCGTTGATGGCAACTCTACTCCGCCGCGCAAACGAGTCGTCGCTGCTGCTGCCAAGTATGGAGGAGCTTCAGATGCGTTTAGCTCGTGGAGATTACTACGGGTGGGAGGACGAACAGGGGTTTGCTCAAGAAATGCGTTCTGTCAACGAGTCGATGGGTTTCCCTGCTCAGCAACCACTTGATGCACTCTTTGGTTGCAAGGAGGCTGTTTCTCCTGCATCCTCACGTCATTCACCACAAAAAGAAGAAAAAAGGGGTCCGCGTGTCAATGCGGCTATCGTTGTGGATATTGCACCGACGAGTCGTGTTGGATCGCAAAGTGCTCGAGAACAGAGCGTGGCCGTAACGCTTGACGCCATGGCGAGGGCGGATTTATCGCGAATGACTAGCATTAGGGATGCCACTGAGGAGCTTGAACGGGTTGGAGTGCGTGAAAAGGCCATGCGAGACTTTCTCCTAACGAACCTTATCCTGGACAGCAAGACGAGAAAGTCGAAATGGCGCTGTAATCTTCCGGTACTTTGTACCGATTACAATCGGATGGAGTTGGGTCTGCTTGACTGGTTTCTTAACGCTCCGGTTGAGGGAGGTTGTTCAGATGGCGGTATGGTGGCCCCAAACCGATGCGCAATTCCAACGCTTTTTGTATTTGGAAGTGAGTCGCCGTACAACAGGCCTGAGGATCGGCTTTTGATTGATCGCTTCTTCTCAAACGTGACGCAGGCGGAGGTGGTTGGGGCTGGTCATTTTGTGCACTATGAAAAAATGCAGGAGTTTGTAGAAACAGTGGCGCCCTTTCTTGCGAGGTACCTTTTGAACACCGAAAAAGGAGGGAACTGAATGGTGAGAGATGGATGCAAATGTGCGGCAGTTCCTTTTGGTTGTTGTTTGAATGAGATGATATTGACGGCCGTTGTTTTTGGGGCTACTGCTTAATGGTTCGGAGGAAAATTGGTAACGATGGGGGGGAACAGGCATTTATGCAGATTGTCTACAACTTTATTTGGTTTTTATTTCATATATTTTATTCTTTCCGTGTATGTTGCATACTACTTTTTTTTATTTTTTATTTTTTATGTGTTTGTGTGTGTGTATTTGACGAAGGAAGCTTTGTTTTTTAGTTCACAATTTACTTGACGTCAGAGTCAATTTTTTGGGAAATGACAGACAGTGAGTCGGACGTCGGAGCCATACAGCTTCGTAATAGGCTTCTTGAGCTTGTGTACACTAGCGGTGCTGTTTTTACGATTAGTCAACTCGCTCTCATTCTTGCGGTGGACAAGGCAAGGATTGTGCATGAACTCCGACGATCGGATTTTCGCGGTATTGTGTACGACCAAGATGAGGAAACTGTGCACATGCGGCCCCAGCACCGTATGTCACCATCAGATACCATTCTCAGTGGTAAAATGCCCACATCACGCGGCATACGAAGATCACCGGGCATCGTAGAGACCCGTTACGCCAATTACGGTAGCGACGGTTATCATCACTATCGGAGAAGTACGTTGGGGAGTGGGCGCGTGGTTTCAACAAAGAGTACCTATCGCAAAACAAAATATCGTCTCCCATTTGACGCGGACGTGGTCAGTGGTGACAATACGGAGAGTGCCTTGCCGAAAGGGCGTGTCGGTTATGTGTGTGTCGCCGACGAGTTTCACCTCAGGGAGTTAGAGGCGCACTATTCTGCACAGGGATATGACACCAAATTTGATTTTGATGTCCTACACATACGTTTCTCTGACAGGGAAATGAGCGCCAAAGGCACACGCACATCCGTCCTTGCAGCAAAGAGCTTGACGAACTTCACAAATCCTACTTCTGCCGGGTGTGGGACACACGGCACAAACACTACAGAGGGTAGTAACAATGAAAACAACAGTAATAACAATAATAATAACACTGGCGGTGAAAAGCCGAGTGATCGATCATCGTTGCCTTCCGCCAAGAATCTCTGTAAGACTGGTTTTGATTTATTTGTGTTTGAATATGGAGCTATTGTCTGGTGGGGGTTTGACCAGCGCTTTTTTAAAATTGTTGAGAATGATTTTATGCTTCCAAACAGTGCCATTTCAAGATACATGGAAAACCGCTACATGACTCAGCTCATTAGCGAGAACTACCCTGTGTGGTGCACATATACTCTTGAACGGAAGGATACATTAGAGCCTGACGAACACTTCCGGGAGAGGCTGCGTTTTGATCACTTTATTATACCCTTTGGACGTGGGGATATGGATACAAGCAACGTTAGCATGCTGTGTGCCTCGCATGCCCTCGCACAGTCCGCGAAGATTGATTACCTGGAGCTGAAGGTACAAGAGCTGGCGGAGAACTGCTCGCCGTTACCGCGTGAGTTACGTGAAAAGGGACAGGTGAGCATTACTGAACGTCGTTTGTTGCAACTTCGTGGCGAGGTGCTTTCATATCGCCTTATGTTAAAGAGTGGTTCAAACCTCATGGACGAACCGGACTTCTTCTGGGAAAATGCTTACCTGAAGCCCGTATTTCAGGCGACGAAGGAGTGTTTTGAGATCAGTGAGCGTGTGGAAGCACTGGATAATAAACTGGACGCCGCGAATGAGATTCTCTCCATGCTGGCTGAGGAGTTCTCCCAGCGTCATGGGGCCCGACTTGAATGGATCGTTATTTGGCTTGTACTTGCAGAGGTTCTCATTGGTATTCTGGAGTTGCTGATTGACCTAAAGCCATGGTTCTATCGAGGGCTGTAGGTTCTTGACCGTGTAATGAAGATGGAGGAAAAAACACGGAAAAAGCGGTAAAAACAGTGGAATTTGTTTTTGTTTTGTTGTGTGTTTTGCTTTGTTTTGTTTTTTGCCGCGATTTGCAACTTACCTTTTATTAATCTTCTTTCGTTGGCTTCCGTGCGGGGAGGAGTGTATGTATTGTGTGCTTCGGAGTAGGGCGGGGAAGAGGCAACTCCCCTCCCCTACACACAGAGAGACACATACATGTATTTATGCGGTATATATATATATATGTGTGTGTGTGTGTGTTCCATAGGAACGGGGCGGTGGAGAAAGAGGGGGGGAAACTCCCTGAAGAAATGAGAAATGAGAGAAAAGAAGAGGAGGAAATAACGGGGGAATTCGGGCACGACGTCAAAAGGACGCGGCATCACAAAAGGGGGATAGAGAGAAAGAAGGAGAGAAGGAAAGGGAGAAGAATACACACACAAACAAAAGGTAATGAACAAACAGCAAGGAGGAGATGAGGCTGAGAGAGTGAAAGAAAAAAAAAAAACAAGGCGGTGGGGAGTGGAAGGTTTCCGGCCCAAACTTTTCTCCTCTCCCTTTTTTCTTTTGTGTGTGTATGTGTTCCACGCTGGGGAATGCGTCGTTGATGTGTTTTTTTCTTTTTTTTTCTCCTCAAGGCAGTAAAAAAAAAAAAAAAAAAGACTTTCCACCCCTCCCCCTCCCCAACACGATGGCGTTGTTTTTTTTTTTTCCGGTATAAAACGGCAGGCCTGTGTGTGTGTGTGTGTGTGTGTGTGTGTGTGTGTGGGAGGGGGTTTGTTTCTCCGCACGCCTTGCGTGATGTTTGCTGTTTATTTTCGAGTGGGGAGGGGCTCCTTCGCTGCTCCGACTGTGCCGGTTATGCGTCGGCGTCATGTAGACACGTGGCGGGGGCGGTAACGGCGTGCATGAGAATTTCCTTTTTGTATTATTGTGTATTGTTGTTGTTGTTGTTGTTCTCTCCCTCTTCTTTTTCACGGTACAGCGGGTGTCCCGGGCTGCTGGCAGGCTGACGGCGGCGGCCAAGTCGGATACGGAACGAAAAAGAAAATAAGAAAAGAAGAAGAAAGGGTGGGTACGGACTGTGGACCAGTCGATTGGACCGAGTCGACCAAAGCCGTCCACGCAACAAACACGCAGGCGCAGAGAACGTGAAAGCAAACGAAACCCCCTTCTTTACGCCTTCAACAAACAAAAGACAGAAGGACGAGGAAAAAAGGGAAAAGGGAAAATGATTATACCCGTCCGCTGCTTCACATGCGGCAATGTTATTGCTGACAAGTACCTGCTGTACCTTGACCTTGTGGCGGAGGGCGTGTCGGAGGAGGCTGCGTTGGATGCGTTCAACCTACAGCGCTTTTGCTGCCGCCGCATGTTTCTCACACACGTGGACTTTTCGGACCTTCTGCTGAAGTTTAACCCTGCCGACACAAACGCGGCGATTTACCCGACCGGTGTTCATTAAAGAGAAGATCTCTCTCTCTCTCTCTCTCTCTCTCTTTTTTTTTTTTTTCTCGTGACACTGCGCGTATTTTCTTATTTGTTGCATTGAGGACCGTCCAAAGCACGAGTATATGAAGGAAGGACGAATACCAGGAGAAAAGAGAAAACACAACTGAAATGTGGATTTAAAGAAGTTTTATTTTATTTTATTCTTCTGTGTGTCTGTGTGTCTTTGTGTTTACATGTGCCGCCTTTCTTCCTTGTCTTTTCTAAGTATTTAGTTATTTGTTTTTGTCGCTTGCTGTTGGTGCAGCGACGCAACGGATTGTGTGGTTGTGCCGTTTGGCTTTGATTTTCCGGTCGGCCAGAGGCAACGAGGGGCGCGTGTTGCGTTCGCATCTTCTTCAGGCGTAAAGCGAAGAAATTGCCGTGTATCAAATAGAGAGGAAGCAAGGACTTCGCGCAGGGAAGTACCGCCGTCTCACATTTTTCCTCCCACTTCACGTGTCTCTGTCTGTGGAGCCCATTTTGTTTTTGTTTTTGCCCGCCACCGCCTCAGAACACGCGTGAACGGGGCAGAAGACGGAGCCCCACCCACCCCGCACTGAATACACATACGCGCAGACAGAGAGACAGAGAAAAGAAAAAAAATGTCTTTGGCAGCCTCTACCTTTCCCCCGACGCGTGCGCGAGTGGACCGCCGACGCAAATTGGGACTTGCAAACGCAGTGGCGCAGGGCCGGCCGCTTTATCGCGTGGGAATCATCAGCGAGAGTGAAATCGCCGACATACGACGCCTTGCGAACGCCGATGAGGGAGCATTTGATGCCTACAGACGAGAGGAGGACGCGCGTCGGCGGGAGGCATCCAAGGCACGCACGGACTTATGGCCGGACACAATGCAGGCGAAACAGGAGGCATTTTTGCGCCGGCGAAAAGATGATAAGGCGGAGGAGGAGCGTCGTGCGAACATCATCCTCGAGTTGGATGCGCAGCAGCAGGAAGAGGAACGGCGGCAGCGGCAGGCGCAGCTTGCCTTGAAGTACTTGAAGGAAGACCCACGTGGTCGTAATGTGCGGAGCCTGTTGATGCTGGACGAGGCGATAAAGGACCGTGAGGCACAGATAGCCTTTAAGAAGGAGCTCAAGCGTCAGGAGGCGGAGAACGAAAAAGAGAAGCAAGAGTTGTTACAGCGGGAACAGGGAGAAAACCGTCTAACCGAGGAGCAGGAGAAGCTCACCCGACGATCTCGGAATGTGGAGGAGAAAAACTCACATCTGCAGCAGATGCTCTTTCAGATTGCAGAACGAAAGAGGATGAAGGCAGAAAAGAAGGAAATGCTTGCTGAGGTGAATCGCGGGGCAGAGGAGGAGAAGCAAGAAAATCAGGAGGAGTTAATGATGCAAAAAGAAAAGATGGTTGCAGTGCATGCGTACAACCGTAGTATTGCCAAGCCGCCGCTTAGCAAACACGATAGACTCAGGCGGCGTATTCAGCAAGAGGAGGGCGATGACGCCGCACGCGAGCTTCAGGAGAAGAAGATCGAGGCCATGAAGCGAGTCCCGATGGAACGGCTGAAGAAGAAGCAGGAATTGTTTGAGAACCGCAAGGAGCAATCTTGGCGTATGTTTGAGGAGGAAAACAAGGCAATGCGGCACAAGGAACGCACTCAGGATGTATTTGAACAGTGCGGCACGAGTATCATTGACAGCATGGCTGCTAGGGAGGAACGTCGAAAGCAGGAGGCGTTGGAGGAGCGCCGCCGCCGCCAGGAGGAGTTTTTGCGCGTGACGAATGGCGAGGTGGAGGAGCCGCCGGAGGGAGTGCGACGGGCAGCGACCCACCGCGCCGGCTTCATGGACGACGAGGAGGCACGGCAGTACCAAAAGGAGATGCGAACACATCCAGCACGTGTGTTGGCAGAGCAACAAGCCGAGGCCGCGAAACGTCGCGAGGAGGCCGAGCTACTGCAGCACATTCACCGTCTACAGGCAGCGGAGAAGAAGGAGAATGAGCGACGGGAGGCAGAGGAACTTGTAGAGGCCAGAAGACGTCAACGGGAGGCGATGGAGACAGACGACGAGCATTACCGCACGTACGTCAAGTCACAATTGCCATCCGATATGGACCCATATTTGTACGCAAAGGCCATGAAGCTGCACTGTTAAATTATTTATTAATTGACGTCTGTTTGAGAGAAACGGAGCAATAACAAAGAACAAAAAAAAAAAAGGAAAGGCCGTGTGTGGGGATGCTAGAAGGAATGTACACACACAATCGTGGCGTTTGAGTGTGTCACAGAGGGAGAGGTAGAGAGAGAGTAAAGGGAGTATCGCCGCATATATGATGTATACATGTACAGAAGGTGCTGTTTCTTTTCTTTGGTTTTGGTTTTTTGGTTTTTCTTGTGCCTTTCTTTTTTTATATCTTTCTGTTTTTCTTTTGTTTTTTGTTTTTTTTTTTCTCTCCATTTGTGTGTGTGTGCAGGCTTGGCGGAAAACGTGCATACATACATGTGGCAGCGTACAGACCAACCGACTGAGAGAAGGAACGAATCATAGGGAAACACGGAAGGGAGAAAAAAAAAATTATATATATATATATATATATACTTGTGCAAAGGGGGGAGGAGGAGGAGGGTTGTCTCTCTCTTCATGCATGTGCCACCGATGTTGAATTCTGTCCATCACGGATGGTGGTGGCTGCACGTATGCATGCATGCATGTCTGTGTGTGTGTGTAGGCGGGAGTGTGTGTGTGTGCCTGGGTTGGTTGGTTAGGGTGGGAGGACGCATCCTTGTTACGCAACAACACTTGTATGTTTGCTTCCTTCCTCTTTTCTTTTCTTTTCTTTTTTTTTTTTTTTTTTTGCATGCATCCACAGTACGAGGTTGAAGGCATTGTACTCCCATACAGATACCTAAATATATATTATTCATACAATATATCGTGAAGGAAAGAAAAACAAACAAACAAACAAAAAACAACAACAACAACAACAACAACAGAAGCAACACAAAACAAAAAAAAAAAAAGAAAAGAAAAGAAAAGAAAAGACGGAATCATAACAAACAAACAAACAAACAAAAAGTCGGCACCCCGTTTTTTGTTTGTTTGTTTGTGTGTGTGTGTGTGTGGGCTCCGGAGCAACCACCACTCCCAATAAAACAGCCATAACAGCAGTGGCAGGGGTTGGGAACGATATTGGGACAATAAGAAACGAGTTGACGGTTGTAGAAACAAACAAACAAAAAAAGAAAAAAAAAAAAAGAAATAGAGAGAGAGGCTCTCTCTCTTTTTCCTCTCAGCGGGTGAATTGTGCGTCCTCTTGCAGACACATACACACAGACAACAAGAGGTACAAATTACACAAACACACGCACGGCCTGTGTGACTGAATTAACGATTTGATTTAACACTTCTTTAGTTAGTGATTTACTCGTCGAACGGGCCGTCCGTCGTCGATTAGTGGTGGGTTTTTATTCGTTTCTTAGATATTTATTTTTTTCTCTCATTTATCGAACTGCGGCCGGGGGGGGAGAGGGAGAAGGGAGAAGGGAGAGTGAGTGAGTGAGTGAGGGATTTTGTGTGTGTTTGTGTGTGTGCGGAAGGGAAATATTTTATTTTATTTTTATTTTATTTTTGTTGTTTAACCGTCGGTATTTTTTATTATTTATTATTTATTGGCGTATCAACAGAAAAGGGGGGGAAAAGTAGTGACGCTTCTCACAACTGTGCATATATTTATATTTTATTATTTTTTTTTTTTCTTCTTTCGTGGCTTCACAGCCAATTCCGGCACAACAAACACGCCACACAAACGAAAAGAAGAAGTGGGGGTGAGAAGCGACGGAAAGAAGAAAAAAGAAAAAAAAAAATAAATAAAATAATTTAAAAAAAAAAAAAGGTAAAATTAATTAATTAATTAATTAATTAATTTTAAAAGAAGGAAAAAAAAAAAAAAAGAGGTGGAAAGGCAAAACAAAAAAAAAAAAAAGAAACGAAAGGGGCTGGGGAAAATCAAACGGAAGAGAAGAGGCAACTGAAAAAGAAAAGAAAAAAGGAAGAGAAGGGAAGAGAGAGGGGTGAGGGACAGGAGGGGTGAAACGGCAGCAGCAGCAGCAGCAGTGGGCCGAACAAAGGAAGAAACAAACAAACAAACAAAAAAGAAGAGCCGACTGAACGTCGACGACAAAAAGAAATATTTATTTATTTCTTTATTTATATATTCGAGGGAATTAAGAAGAGGAGGGGGAGAAGGAAAAGAAGAAAGGGATGCGTGTTATCGTAAGAAATTCGACCGCGCTATTGTGCGGTGCCGTCGTTCACATCTTTTTCTTTTTTATCTTTATCCTTTTGTCCGGCTCGGGCACGGCTCACGTTCATGCAGAAGTTACGGGTGCCGTGACATGGAAGTCGGACGAAAGCCCTGCTGGTAACACCAACGGCTTGTCAATACCGGTTTTGTCAGCTGATGGAAAAATCACGGGGTTTGCAGAGGTTTTACCGATTCAAGGCGTTTTTTTGCTGCGTGATACCAAAGGGAAAATTGTATCGAAGATTACGGATAACTCCCTACTGGATTGCACGGATCCCACCGGCACCTCATTGATCAATGATGGCCCGGCTGTGATGATATTCTGTGGGGGAAAAAGTTCGTTTTTATACGTGATGTTGAGCGGGGGAATGGGTTCCATGCGTGTGGTGGAAGTCAGTACGGAAACCACGTTTTATCCTTCTTCGTCATTGCCCCCAACACCATTGGTACGTATCCGAGGCTCATCGCCAGACTCACGAAAGGATGCAGTGTTTGCTGTCTCGAAACAGGGTGAGCTGGACTGTATTGGTCAGTATGCATTTGAAGAATCGGTTTCTTTGTGCGACAAAGACTCCATTTTGGACTTTTACTTCCAAAAATGGGTACCCATCACAAGCGATGAGTCGAACCCTGAAGGATTTATAATCACGGAAAGGAAATCAGCGGAAGGCTTGAAAATCGATAGTTACTACCTACCAGATTTTGGATTCTCTGCCGCACCAAATGCATCGGTTACCTTGGAGTTTGTTGGCTCGAGCAAAGCGGTACACACGAATGTGAATGATATTTCGCAATCCGAACCTCTTATTGCGTACGTTCAAGGGACCGCAGCAGAGACATTTAAATTGGCCGTGGTTGTTCTTGATGCCAATTCGTTGGTGAGGAAACATTCTGGATCCATCGACGCCGGTATCGCGGTCAGTGAATCTACTCTTGTGACTGGAGCTTACATGGTATCAACTGCGCGTGGTGCCTTATTGATGGTTCAAACAAGTGCATTATTGATGGCTGTGAATTACACGATCTTATCTGAAGTGAATGCCCCACTATGGACAGCAAAGGCGTCATCGACTGCGGGGGTACTTTTTCTGCCTTTTCGTGCAATGGAAAATAGTTTCAAGGAATACTATCGTCGCATGTTGTCGCCATCTTTTACAGATTACAACCCATATCATATTATTAAGGCAACGGAGGTTCAGTTTCTTGAGTCGGCTAAAAATGTCACTAAATTAAATATTTTAGATGGATCTCTCAAGTCAAGCTTTGAAGTGCCATGGACTGGAGCTTCTTTCTGCAGTGAGGCGGATCGTTTGGCCGCCATCACAGTCTTTGAAGAACCAATGGTATACCTTGGATGTGAGAAGAGTGGACACTACTGTTTGGTTGACCCCATCGCCTCCAAGCCTCATTATTCCATCACATTCCCATCTATGGGCCCAGCTGAGGATGTAACATTTGGATACCTTCTTGATGATCCTTCTGTTGTTTTATGTAATGGATCAAGATCCGCGGGTCTTGCGTTGCATCCGTTGTTACTTTACAGTGAATCCGTTTTGATACCACAACGCGATGCTCCAGTTGGTGCGTACGACCGTGGCCGAATGTCCATTGTGACAAATAACTTCACAGATCCTGGAGAAATGCTCTTTTATTTTTACGTACATGACACGGCTGGTAATAGTGGTGGACGCGATCCCCTGCCACCCTCTAATGGTCCCGTGTCTCTTATCAAAAACGCCTCATCTGCCAAACCTTTTACGACGTTTTTTGGAGATGGGAATAATTACGTTGCCGTGGCAACAACTCCAGGAATTGTCTCCATCTTTTCGGCTGCGAATGGGGAACCTGTGATGGATTTGCTGCTCGTCGGCTGTGTTCCAAGTGGAGGGAATCCGGATTCCGGAGTAATAACGTTTATGAAAAGCGTACAACATTTTGGGAATAAAGAGGATTATTATGTTCTGCTTGGCGGGACGGACACGTGTCTTTTTGAGGTGAATGATAGTTTGGTGGTGCGTGTTACTTCCCTTCAGGGATATCAATCCGGTGTTGTGGTGGGGACGACAAGATACAGCGGTTATAAGTTTGTTCCTGCAACCAGAACATTGCAAGCATTTACAAGCTTTTTTGGCCCTAGTTCCATGCCGGTGTATACAGAAGCAGGTATTGATTCTTACGTTGTGGGGTCAAATGTGTTTATATACGTCAAAGATGATGAAATCATTTGCCGGAGCGTTCGAAGTGACATAACCGTGTGGAAATATAAATTTTCTGAGAAGTTTCAAGGACCTGTTGTGCATATGACGTACTACAACAATACAGTCTTTGTAGTGAGTCAGCGTGAATTCTTCCGTTTTGACGTTCAACATTATGAAGACGAGGATCGTTATTCACGTTTACTTTTTCAAAACGGTTTGACTGAAGAAGATGAAAAGTACTTGGGAGCCGCAGTGAATCAAGGTATTGTTTTTCTTTATTCAGGTCAGAAAATTTACTGCCATGATGCTGTGAATGGCAAACTTATCTGGAAAACGGAACCGCGGATTCAATATGAAGCCAAAGATGCAAAAGTTGAAGCGGTTATTTACTCTCCGAGCGACACGGGTGGCGTTTCGACTGATGATATTGGGACCGCATATATTGAGGTACGTATGACCGTGAGCCAGGGAAATAATAAAGCTCGGTTTACCCATGCGGATATGTACGCCCAGGCTTCTGGAGAACTGTTGAAAAGTGTATTGGATGCACCAAATGACCTTACTGGTCCTGTCATTTGGGGTAACAAATATGTTACTTTTTCAACGTTAACCAAAGGTTTGGTGACCTTTCGTGCTCTTAACATTTCCCAAGTGGACATTCCAGAACAGGCGAAACGTCCTGAAGACCCTATGACGGATGTTTATGTGCCAGGAGAGAAACCGATTGAACCTCCACCGCCGCCTTTGCCACGTGGTGATAATTTCATGGCTGCTTCCCCTCCAATGAAATTCTCCGTGGCTGGTCGTGCTGCGCTGATTTCAACTGATCGAAAAAGAGCTGTTGTAGGGAAGGTTGATCATAAGAACGGCATGTATGAGTACAAGATACGATGTTTCAACGTGGACGATCCACAAGGGAATCCCATACGTGAGTGGGCGTTTCCCCCAGCGCCGGTCCCACTGGAAACAAAATTCATGGAGTTTAACAAAGATCACTTTGCCATTTTCTTGCCCAGCAATGTGCAGTTTTACTCTTGGTCAAATTGTAAAGAGGTCGGGAAATCCATTTCTTTAACTGGAATAGTGGAAGGTTTGCCGTCGTATATAAGCCTTGGGTATCAAAATCAGTGGCTATTTTTGAACAGCGACCAAGTGACCTGTCTAGAACCCTCCACTGGGAATGAAAAATGGCGTAGAAATGTTAGGGGATGCATCACTATTCGTCGTGTGGATAATTACATTATCTGCGACGGTGGTTCGAATTTGGTCGTTTTAAATGCAGGTTCGGGTGCCATTTTGTTTGAAGATGCCATTGAAGGTGGCATTACGACTATGGGATTGGACTTTGGTGGTGTGGTGCGTATCCCGCGTGGATATGAAGCTGCATTCTACACTACATCAGGGAAAGTGTTCCAATCTTCAATTGCTATCCCATGGTCTGCTGGTAAGGTGATGGGGGCAATTCCTGGAACATTGGATAAAAATGTTGTCGTTTTTTTTGAGAATCTGGCGGCTTCTATAATGTTTGACACTTCCGCTAAGAAGGCATCATTGCTGTGGACCAGTGACCTAAATGGCGAGAGAGCGCGACCGGGCGCGGCTGCTTACGCTGGAGCTAGGGGGGTCAATATTGTCGTTGGAACGGAAAATGGTATAATAATGCTGAACTCATCATCCGGAAAGGGATTTTTGAATATTTCATTGCCGAAACGTTACGAGGAAGATACTGATGAGGTACAGGTGCTTAAAATGGTGGCAGTGAAAGAAAACACTCTTTATGGCATCTCATGGAACGGGTATGCGGTTTTGCTTCGAGTGACTCCGGGTATGGAGGAAGCATTATTCGCCTTTGGGTTAGGTCGTGTGCGTGCATCACAGATTTCGTTCGAGGATGACTTTTTGGTGATCAGTGGAGGAGGCTCGGCGGGTACGGTACCAATTGACGCGACATACTGGGGAGCTCCACTATCGTGTGTGGGAATGTCTTATTCAGCCTCAACTAACTTTATGGCGGGCTGGGATCAGACGAATGATACGGCTGTTAATTTGGTTGTCGTCACGGCAGGAAGAACGTGGTCCTCCAGTCACATTCCCCATGAGCGTGCCATCTTGTCCTCCATGAGTGCAGCGAGTGCCGTTGTCTTCTTTGGAAAGAGGACAATTAGTACTATAGGTGGTTTGGAAGGAATCGGTGTGGAGTTTACTATTCCCAGAGAATGTGAAGAGACGAAACTGAAGGAAGTTTCAGTTGGTGGTTCCACGACTGGTGCCTCCCTGGTTTGGTACACTGGCGAAGTCCGAGATTGCATCTTTGTTCTCGGTGCGGGAGGCGCACCACCCAGCTTCCTGGCGGGTCTCAGCGGGAAGTACGCTGCCGTCGTAAATGTTCGTTACGGCACAAGCTTTGGATTGTTTACATCAACCCATCTCTCTTTGTTGGGATACGATGGAACCAGGATTGATAGCATTGATGTGAACAATCCAATTTACGTGTCGTCGTTGTCATCTCCTGATACCGGGGACGGTATCTTTTTGGTGGTCTCAGCGGATAATCAACTCATTTGCCTTCAGATAAATGGTTTGTTTCACGTTTGGAATTACACCCTTCCATCCCCATCCAGAGCCCCAGCAACGTACTACAATGAGGGCGTTTTTATTTCCACCGAGGCTGGACCTTACTTTTTCACCCTTGCGGAAATCTCATACCCGTGTCATGATCGTGCCATTTTTCGTGTTCCACGTGTTCCCACGGAGGGTCGATCCAATTTTCACACAGAGGTGGTAGTGAATGAGGAATACGCCATTGGATTTGTCACGACGTTTGAGACGTTCTATGCCTTTGACGCCTTGACAGGTGAGGTACTCTGGCAACGGCCCGATCTCTTTGCGGTCTCTCACGCGACTGTGCTTCGTGAGGGCATGTTGTTGGTTGTGAGCACGAAAAGCAGTGGTGTGGTGTTTCTGAATCCATTTACAGGTGTTTCCTTACTTTACTTTGCCAACATTGTGGAAGAAAGCAGCGAAATCTTTCTTTCTCCGGATGGAACAACTGTTGGGTTCGGTGGGAGCATGGCAACCGCAATCAATGTCATCGAGTATGCACATTACTTTGATGTTGTGAAGGCAAACCGTCCGAAACAGCAAACGCCACCGGCGTTCAGGCCATACAACTACGGTCCCACCGACAACCCGAATGATTGTTCCGAACCAAGCGGCGATGGTGAACCCATCCATGTGCAATTGTCTCCGGAGTGGGTCTCTGGATCGAAGTACGGTCCAAGTAACCCCAAACAAACTACGGTTGCCATGTCGCATGGAGAGAAGAGTGGCTGGGCTGCCTCTTTGGAAAAACAAAAGTTGTACATTGCACGTGCTGTAGATGGTGCCTTTGAAGAGACCGCGCTTTTTCAACCGAAGGAAAGTGGATGTGATTTGTTAAATTTATACTCCCTCAGTGCAAAAAAGGCGTATGTGGGTGTGAGGTGTGGCAAAAAGACACACTTCTACAACGCCTCAGGAGTTGAACAGGGGACTCTGGGGCGTGCGGCTAAGAATGCCATTTGTGCTGTAATAAAAAGCAATGGATATTTTGTGAACACCGATGGCTATTTTGACGCCGTGAATTTGAATAAAATTAAACCATTACCATCTTCTCCAAGTAAGGCCCGGTGTAAGGCGAAGTTTGACATTGTTCCCGCTAATCGACTGGAACGTCTACTGTTTGTATGCGCTGGCACGGGTATTCGTATTTTGAACCATGCCACACTGGCACAAATTGGCAGTACCATTACTGGTGGAGTTAGTCGGCCTGATTTCACAATGTATGAAGCGGATGATAACCTTCGGGTGGGCATTGCATGCGGTAAAAATGGCACTAATGTTTATATGGTGGCGTTTTCGTTGGAAACCGCCAAAACGATTTTGATGCATAACGAGTCGGTTCAGGGCACCCCTCTTTGTGGTATTAGGTACCCTGACTATCCAAGCAGAAATGGCCCTCTGTTTGTGTTTGCCTATCCTAATGGATACAGGACATGGGAGGTACAAGGTGGAAAGCCAAAGACGACACAGGAAGCGGCCAACACGTTTCCAGCAGCGATTACAAGCCATGGAGTGATTTACCACAATACGGGAAATGATTACTATTTCCGATCCTATGGATTTCCCACGAGCTCACTTATAGTCAGTTCCAAGTCACCTGCAACGGGAAGTATGATGGTAAAAGGACCGGATGGTGTGCAGGTCAGTCCATTGGTCATCATCTATGGAAATGCCTTCACACTCGCGGTGGACACTTCTACAGTAAATCTCAGAATTTTCTGGTCCGGGAATGGATTAATTACCTTCACTCCTGAAGCTCGCTTCGTCTCTAATCTTCCGTTTGTTTACACTACAGTCGGCAATTCACTTGTGGCATTTATGCTTGCGGGTGATTCGTTTGCCCTTGAAGAAGTCCTTCGGATAAATACGGCCTTGATCGACCAGGAGCAGAGAGTGTTTTTGTCTCAGAGGGGGACAATTGGTTGCGTGGACAAGGACGGTAAGGTGTTGTGGAATATTGGGTTTTCGAATTCTGGTACTCCACAGATTCTATTCGCTCCCATCGTCCTGGATAATCTGGACTTTGCCCTTGTCTCTGGTGGCGTACGGGTGGCCGCGATCATCAACAAACGAACTGGTGTAGTTGCGAGGAGCGTTCAGTTTGAGAGGTGCAGCATTTCTCCGGATTCTACCGAGGCGGATGTGGTTGTTAATGGGACTATTGTATATGTTGCGATACGAGGATGGTCATGTGTGCATGTTGTGGATCTCAATCTGAAGAATAAAAGTGGTAAGATCACAGGACCGGAGGTGAAAGCATTGGAGATCGAAAATACCTCGACTGGTATTCTTGGAGGATATCCCATGGTTGCGATGGTGGAATTTGCGAATCATCTTGTTTTTGCATTGCAACCAGAAAATGGTGACATGAGACGTCCAACGTTTGTTGTGTACCGTGTGGATGACATGAGTAAATCTTTGTGGACGCAGCTTTGGAAGAAAAGACTGCGTGCTGACCTCGGTAAGATCTCCACCTATGGGTACTTCTTGTACACCGCCGTCGATTCGGTACTGAATGTTTATGATTTATTGACAGGACGATATGTTTGGGGGTATATTTTTGAGAAGAGCATTACAGGGCCAGTTTTGGGCGCAGATCGCACGTTATATGTGACAACTGTGAATGGTATCCAGTCGCTACGTTCCACACTGAGTTTGTCCTGGTCCCTACGTCTTATGGGTAACATCACTCTTCCGAATCGCATGGTAACACCTTCAGATGTCACCATTGGGCCGGTACGTACGCCATATGGGCATATTATCGTCTCCAACAGCGTTGGTACGTTTGCCGTTGAGCATGAGCGTGAGGGTTCCGTATCAAAATTGGTTTGGTATACAGAGAAGTCCATTTCTCGATTTGGTGTGTACGATGTGGACAGCAAAGTGAAGGTTGGGTTATTTGACGCGAGCGACGGCACAGGGATTATGGATTTGACTTCTGGTAAGATGCTGTGGTTGGGCGGTGTGTACCCGACTGACGGCAAAACGAATGGTGTTGCGTCGCCTTCATTCCCATTTTTTGTGTGTTTCTTTGTCCTGTACGTTCCGACGTGTCGACTTGTTCCTGAGAAATATTTAATGCCCAGTCGAAATCTACCACTTTACAAATATGACACCGAGCCAACCGAAAAGACACCAGACGAATGGGATCCCATTTATCCAGGCGGTGGCGGTTCTGTACCGTTACATCCATCACCACGCTGCCAATCTATGATGCACGCCTACATCCCTCCATTTACAGAGTGCATTAATAAAGCCCTCAGACTTATTTATCCTCGCGGTAGAGGAACGAGATTGGTATGCCCTGCTTCCCTCTACATAATTGGTATTTGCCAGGACTCATTGAAGGAGCTGGCCGACGCGTGCCCTGACGTTGGTGTGCTTTTGGTAGAGAGCTGGAAAGCACAAACCATGGATAAATTGTCTCCTTTGGGTCTTTGTGAAGCTGAAGAGGCGAGTGCGCGTTGCCAGACGAAAAATGGTACGGTCTTAAACGCCACCTGTTCCGTTGTAAGCATGACTTTTGTACTAAACGACTACGAAAACCCCATGGGCTACGAGCTTGGCTACGAGCTGCCCATCTTTGATTTCCCCTCCATAAGGTCAGCGAAGAGTGTTGGGGCAATCTTGGGTGGTGTGATGGCCGTTCTTGTGGTGATTGCCATTGGAGCAGCGGTGGGAGTACACTTCTACCGGAAAAAGAAGAAGGTACGGGACTCACGCTTCTTTGATGACGACGTCAATGCCTCACTGCTCGGTAGTGAGGGGCAGGACCTGCCAATGCAAATTATCAAGAACGAAAGTCATAAGTTAATGTCAGGAGAGGGGAGTTTAGCCAACATGGACGCGGTGTCATCACGCGTGCAAGAAAACCCGCCGCCGGAGCTGGAAAACGGCTTTTCTCCGTCGCAGGGAGAAACAAATGGAGTAACGCACACAGCAGCAGCACCAGCAGCCATAGCCGGACCGAAAAAGATGCCCCCCAAAATGCCAATGAAAATGCCGGGCAAAATGCCACCGGGGAAGGGGCTTGGCCCCAAAATGCCACCGCCATCTAGACCGGTAAGAAAGCCAGCGAATGAGAATCCAATCCTTGACGATGACCTGTAGTAAAATTAAAAAGGAAAAAAAAAAGGGAAAAAAATTTTTTATAAATGGTTGTGCATGCTTTCTGACGGTGGTGGTGATCGGGTACGCGTTGTTGTTTGTGGTTGGCATAGGCTCCCCTTTTGTTGTCACCACCTTTTGGGGACTATATATATATATATATAATCCGTCGTCAATCTGCTCACCGATAAGCATTCTTAACGTCGAATGTACATGAGGGGAAGGAAATTCTCATCACGGTAGGTCAATCCGATCACGGGCCACAGGTGTATTTAACATACATGCATACGCATACACATAAATAAATAGTGTTTGTGATGCAGATGCCGCTTTACTGAACTGCACATGTCAATATATTTATTTATTTATATTTCCCCCCTCCCCTTTGCTTTCTTCTCTTTCTATTACACTGTGAATGTAACCGAATTGACAGTTAATGAGGGAAGCGGGAGGGGGGAGAAGGAGGGTTAATTAGCGATGTGTGAAGAACAGTTATTTATTTATTTATTTTGATTTCATTTTTCGTTAATTTTATTTTATTTTTTACTTCCTTTCTTGTTCTTTAGTTTGGCTGGCGGTCTTACTTTTTTTTATTTTTATTTTTTTTTTTTACTTGTTTGTGTGTATGCCTCTTTTAAATGTTTGGTACGCCTCATTTGTCCCTCTCATTGTAATGTTTTAACCCGTACTTGTGCGCTGAGCGGTACGTAATGTTTTACTCAGAGAGGGAGAGGGAGAGGCGGCAGTTTACATGCAGAGAAATTCTGCACTGAATGACCGGCAAAAACGAAAACCGAAAAGTGTTTTTTAACGAAACAAATTGACGGAAAAAAAAAAACAAACAATCAAATAAACGACAATAAATAAATAAATAAACGAGGAGGGGTGAGGCAAAATGAAGATGTAAACAAATAACAAGTGCCTTAAGGATGAGTGATATACATATATATATATATATATATAAGAGGTGTCTTTTATTATCAGTACTATTATGATTATATATTTTTTGTTGTTTTTTGTACGATTGTATGTTTATGTGTCTTGGCCATTGAGCACAGGCATTTGTTGTACCATCATAGCATTTATTTTTACCCTGTTGTGTGTAAGTGTATACAAATCCATATATATATATATATATCTTTCCCATTGGTTGTTGTGTGCATTATGTGAGCATTCACGTGTGTGACACGAGGAGGGGGGGAGGAGGGGGAAAAAAGGGGAGGAGACACCATTGGACAAATTAGCATCAAATAACGGAAGTGACGTGAATTTAACTGTAGTGTTTGTGTGTCTGTGGAAGGGAAGGGGGAAGGGGAAATTCATGCGTGTTGAATGGGGGGAGCACACGCAGTCATTGAGAGTGTGAGAGAGAAGTGAAAGATAGGAATAAAGATGGGCCCCTTGTGTGCATGGGCGTAATTATTATTTGTTATTTATTTATTTTGTTTGTTTGTTTGTTTGTTAATCGCCTTTCACTCTCACTCTCTCTCTTTTAACCCATGAAAAAAAGATTGTCCCCTTTTCTTCCCTTGCGCAACAAACAGGCACGCAAATAAATAAATAAATAAATAAATAAAAGGAAAAGTAGAGAGAAGGGGGGGAAGGGGGGGGGGGGGAAAAAGGGAGGGCACTTGGAAATGCCTTCAAGAAGTGGCGTCTGTCTCAGAGGGAAACTGCAGTTGTCAGATGAATCCGCCATTATTATTATTTTTGGCTTTTTTCCTTATTTTTTCTTTTTGTTTTTTGTTGTACTTTTCATCAGGGCTTTTTTTTTCTTTTATTTTATGGGTGCGTTTCTGTTTACTGGGAA